AGGTACGATGATGACAAAACCTTGTCGAAACGTTGTACATTTGCTGTCATGTTAAACTTATATTAAAGTTTTTCTTCATTACCCATTTAAGCCGTCTCCAGCCATTATTAATTATTGTTAAATATTAAATATTGTTGAGTTCCTAATTCATACAAAACTAGACTTAGTATTCTGACATTACAAACATCTAATTTGAACCAGTGCTGCATTCAACATACCACATGACACACAAAAATTGTTGTTTATCTGTGTTTTTGTAATATTTACTTTAAATTAAGAAATTGAACAATGTATAATACTAAAAGTTGAATTATAATCTACAGTTTCATACCAAACTTATTGACATAAATTCATGAAATAGTAGTTCAATAAAATTTTTAACAAGAGTCAACAAACTCGATGACATGACCGTTGACCCATCTGGAGAGGGTTAAAAGTTATAGTATGGAAACTATTATGAGGTCAGTCAATTTGACCGAGAGAGTTAAACAGTTATTATTACTATCTACAAAAATAATCATTTAATCAAAATTAGTGTTTCTAACTATTAATATACAGTTTCATGTGAGAAAAGTGGATTAGTTGAATGTAACTGATTAACAAACCTGAAGATCATAAGACAGCTGTATGTAAACAGTAGCACCAACTGTTGACATCAATGTGAGAAAATTGGATTAGTTGAATGTAACTGATTTACAAACCTGAAGATCATAAGACAGCTGTATGTAAACAGTAGCACCAACTGTTGACATACAGTAAAGTTTACATCAATATACAGAACCCTGCATCAAGAACTCTCTAGACTATTTCTGAACTGTAGCACAATGTGTAAACTTGACTGATATATATCTCCTATGAATTGGATTAGTCATCCGACAAACAGAGTCTATACTTAAGTTATTGCAGTAAGTATAAATGAAAATACATTTTACCTTCTGAGTCAGGAGGATCAAGAGTCTACGAAACACTCCCACAAAGTCAATGAACAGGTTTACAGAGTGCCTAATAAACATAAAAATGGAGAAAATGAGTTGCAGTTGGAAAGGTTACATAATCAATGGTATGTGGAATACCTTTACCAATGATAAACAGATTTACTGTCACGATATTTTGGGCAGAAGTGACTATTGTGTAACTAAAGAATGCAGTAATAAATACAAGCTTGTAATAGTAAACATGTTCTACTGAAACATTTACATTATGTTTGGATAATAACAATAAAAGAACACAATGTCGTGTACAGCAATTAATGAAGACATTGTGAGACTGAAGAGGATGCACGAATGTGTAGAAACTAGTTTCACCAATATCAGACTTTTGACAGTTTTTTCTGTTTACTGTGGTTTATTCACTTAGTCTGGATAATTGATATTCTAAAATGAAATTTCCATGTATGGCTAACAGACTACAGTGTGTAGGCTTTTGTACCATTAAGCTGCAAAAGAACAGTGGTATTTTATATGTAATTACATGATAACTTGTTGGTATTTGGCCTATCATTAAATGATTTAGACTTCACTACAATTTTTTAAATGTATATATATATTTGTAAAAACATAAATACAGCACTTCTTCAAAATAATAATGTAACATATTTTGCACTGAACATTATCGTATCAACTTGGAATATGTGCATATTTTTGTATCTAGCCAAGCTGCAATTAGTAACTGTCAAAAAATGCAAGAGGTTTATTATCACTCACAGAATGTTAAAATAGTGTTATTGTTAAACGTGGATAGTTGCGACAAAGCCTAGTCTAATAGTGTTATTGTTAAATGTGGATAGTTGCGACAAAGCCTAGTCTAATAGTGTTATTGTTAAACGTGGATAGCTGCCACAAAGCCTAATCTAATAGTGTTATCGTTAAATGTGGATAGTTGCCACAAAGCCTAGTCTAATAGTGTTATTGTTAAATGTGGATAGTTGCCACAAAGCCTAATTTAATAGTGTTATTGTTAAATGTGGATAGTTGCCGCAAAGCCTTGTCTAATAGTGTTATTGTTAAACGTG